ATTTTTCTTTAATAGTAGGAAATGCTCCAATTAAATCTTCTGCAATTAATTTCACGAACGAACCTTGCTCCTTTTTTATATTAAACATCGATATCAGTATATAGGAGACTAGTTTTTGTACCTGTCTTCACTTACGAGCTCAATTAGCTGTTTATTACAGCTATATATACTCCAAGGTCATACGGAGGTCATGTAGAATAGATCATATGTATGAAAAATTAAATAGAATGCCTCATGTGTTAGAACAGGAGATTTATTGATAAGGAGACTGGTAAGTCACTGACATAAGACCTATAAGGTTTACCACGAGTGCTTCTCGTCACACTATACATCGATATTAATGTATTTCTCGATGTATTTCTGATAACATATATTTTAATATAAAGTATTTTATCATAAGAGTATTGAGACACCACTGACATACGGTGAAGGAAAACATCGTGAGGAAACCTGGACTTATAATTTCACAATTATAAGTTTGAAATCACCAACCCGTCTTGAGCAAGAGTGGTGATTAATGCTCAAACCTTCTCAGCAGTGTATCCGATTGGCTGATGATTATGATTTAGTTGTACATCATATATTATTATATTTATTGAGAGCTCATAATTGGTTGATTTTAAACTTTATGTATGAGTGAATTCACGAAAAATCCTCATAAAAACATACAAAACAATTACAAACAACATTCATATGAATGAAAACGGAAAAAAAAACCTTTAATTTTTAATATTTATTAAAATTATTTATATCCAAAATTAAAATTGATCTCAAACTAGCTTTACTATCGTAATTTATACCAGTAAATTAAAGTTTTCAGTACATGTAATTTGGTTTCTAATATTTGTAGTACAATGCAACACAATTACGTCATAGTTTTGTGTCCAAGCGATGTCATGTTTAAGGTTATCATACAGGGCATCTGCATAAAACGTTTACTTAGTTATGAAAATAATATGCAGTTACTTAGATCCTACTATATATATATACTAGTTCTTGCCCGCGACTCTGCGTGAACAACACAGTTGAGCTCATAAAGATATGTATAGTGTTTTATCTCAATACATAAAGTAATAAACATTAAAGCGTCTTGATTTTCAAATATCTAGATAATAATAGATACAACTCTAGTTCAATTTTTAAGGCTGATTTTGAATCTAAACCAGTAGTTCCCAACCTTTTCTTGACCAGGGACCAATTTGTATTCTTTGTTGTTTCCATAGAACCATGGGACTAAGAAAATAATGTTTAATAAAAAAATTAATGAATTTTGTATCAACGAAAATATGTCATTAAAACATTGATAAAATTTAAAAGGACCACCGGTTGGGAACCACTGATCTTAACCATTTGGAGCTTCACACAAATGCATGCATAAAATTCATTCAAATCGGGCCAGAGTTTACTAACATATAGAATAATTATATTTATATATAAAGATTATAAAGAAATGTACATAATATTTTCTTATATATTAGAGGAGAACCGAAATCTTTGGAGTGGAAAGTTACCCTTGTCATATCCACATGGCATTTGATACGATCGTAAAGTTGGTAAACTAATGAATATATAGATATATGTTCTTAACGCGACTCTGCACGTATTAGAGGTTTATTTTTATACTGGATATTCATAATGAATTCACAAGACTATTTTCACATTGACTAAGTATACTGTTATATGAATTTGAGGTAAAATTTGTTAAAAATATATATACATATATCTTTTGGAAGTCAGTGGTGGCCTAGTGGTTAAAGGCCCGTCTCTCATGCATGAGGGCGCGAGTACGATCCTGGTAAGTACCAATGTGATTTTTCCGAGTCATATGTACTTTCTAAGAGTATTTAGACATCACTGATTAATGCATCCTCAAAGAGGGTTGATGTCAGGCAGGCGGCCGGTCGTAAAAACAATTAGACAAAACTATTTACAACATGTAAGGCAGACCCTGGCTAAAGCTGAGTAAATTGCCAGGTAGAAGAAGAAAAAGATGACTATCAATGACCTTTTGATCTCGTCTGACCGTGATCACGGTTGCTGTAAAGTAACCGAAACGTCAAGAGTATGTAGTTTATATAATAAAAAATGCGTAGTAAATCCGAATATATTAGTTTCATTCAAATAACAAATAAAAGAAATCTCTATAGTCGTAATTTTTTATATGTATTTACAGTAGGTATTAAAGTAAAGCCAATTAATTTTGGACATCATAAAATAAAATTCACATATACCATTGTTATGTTAAATAATGATAGGATTATATGATTTAATGTTTCCGATTGGTATATAAACATATTAAAACTGAATTACATTTGAACATATCATTAAAATTGCATTAAAATTGAATACAATTTAATGATTGTAATTATTATTACATAATGTATTAAAAAGTCGTGGTGGCATAGTGGTTAAGGACCGCCTTTCATGCATGAGGGCGTAGGTTTGATCCTGGCAAGTACCAATGCGATTTTTCCGAGTCATATTTACTTTCTAAGAATATTTAGATACCACTAACTGATTAAGGAAAACATCATGAGGAAACCTGGATTTATAGTTTTAAATAAGTTTTAAATCACCAACCCGTCTTGAGCAAGCGTGGTTATTAATGCTCAAACCTTCTCCATGTAAGAAGAGGCCTCTCAGCAGTGGGCTCTGATAGACTGATGATGAATTCATAATTGCAGACAACCTAATTCATAGTATTTTTCTGGGTAAAGATATATAATTAATACTTTCGCTAAACAGTGGAAGTTAAATTCTTACTTGTGTGTAGTGCTTAAAAGTAGCGCTTATTTATTAAGATTTAAATTATGATTTTATGTCATATGTATTTTAATATGATTAAAAGTAGAAAATATTGTTTTAATATCTAAGACTTTCGCGAGAATTCATTTAAATGAAACAAATATTTTTCCTATATACTACGCGTGCTTCCGAAACGTCGAAAGTATGAATATTTCACAAAATAAAGCACGCGTATTATATCCGAAGAATATCAGTTTCAGTTAAATTTATTGTTTTATTAGTGTGTCATTATTATCAGGTTAAAAATACATAAAATGTCTCCATACTTTCCGCGACCTCAACCTCCAATACTAAGTTATATCCTGCTTTTATCAATAGACAATATAAAAGATTTATTAGTTTAAATAAGTAAGCCGATATTAAAAAATCTATATTAACCTTGATACAAAATTTAAACTTTTTCTTAATACAGACGAATAATTCTAAGATTGTTTTTCTGCTTATATACTTCAAATTTCATTAAGTTATTTTAGATAGTTCTAGTCGTAAAAATAACATAAAATGTTAAATAAAACTAAGGTAGGGTAATAAAATCTTCTATATATATAAAAATGGATTGCTGTTCCTTAGTCTCGCCAAAATTCGAGAACAGCTGAACGGATTTATCTTATCTTAGTCTTGAAATGTTCGTGGAGGTTCAGGGAAGGTATAAAAGGTGAGATGAATATGAGGGGATTGGAATAATTGCCGGGAAAACCCTAAAAACAGCCCTTTTCTATTTCCCATACAAACGATTTTTTGACATTAGACTTGACAACTAACTAATATGTCAATCATTCTGTTCGATTGAAACAGGAAAAATTTAATAAATACCAATACCGGGTTATTGAAGACGGAATAGAGTTCGCCCGGTCAGCTATACCTATATTACTAATGACGAAATTAACGCGGACGAAGTCGCGGGCAAAGACTACTAGTATTCAATAAATAAATGGTATTTGATATATGTATTTACAAAACACAATAATTGTTTAAATATAATGCAATAATATTAATTAATTAATTAATATTCTACCTTAAGTTACTCTAATGCGAAGTTTAGTGAGTCAAATGAAAAATATTTCAAGGCGAGAGTTGACACAAAAATTATTTACATATACATATATAGAGCGGAGCTTAGACAGTGGAGGTGAGCGTTTAACGCGTTAGTTAGGGTCCCTTAAACCTACACCTGGTCGCAAGTCCCAGTCACTGTTGAAGCTCCTCTCACTACAACGATGGACCCGACACACGCACGGTGGATACATTGAATGATAAGAGGTTTCGTCTCGTCTATATATATATATAGCCATTGCAGTGATCCAATAGATTGAGTGATTAACAAAAGTCACTTACAAATAAATAATGCTACTTTTACATACAAAAAATTAAATAAAATTTTAACAGCATTAATAATAGAGAATCTTGTTGTATTTATTTTTAGAAAATTATAATGTTTTTCACTAATTAACGATAATCACTATTATTCATAATTATGTATGCTTCTAACTAATTAACTAATAAGTACATTAATTATGTTATTGCTTGCATATTATAAACAAAGTCAATGAAATGGAACATTATTCAGTTCAATAAATTCGAGAAATTTTATGAAACAATAATAAAATCAAATAATGATAACAATATAATTAATTGATTAAAATCGTATATATATTTATTAAAGCTTTTTATTCCAAGAAGTAATGAGTTTTTCTGTGGCGTTATGGCTTTCCAAAAATAAATACCTTGCATTCGTTCTAGACTATCAGGTCCATAGTAAAAAATCATTATTTCTTTTTCGAAACGCGTAATATACGATTGACTTCTGATTGCTTTAAGTACTCACACGTGCCAATATAATATTTATAAGATAATTACTGCGTAGGTTTTTGTTTAAGTTAGTAAAATTTGTTATTATATGTAGTAGCTATGAATTGTTGCGTCTATCACGTTTAAAGAGATTTTTCCATATATGTACATAAGAGAGATTAATTATTTTAATGTTTTCATGAAACATAGTAAATAAATCTTTTTTGAATACATTAACAGTTATAACTAAATAATTTTCGTAGTTACCTAACTATATCAACTCAGAAAATGTGTTGTTATTATGGTAATCAATTTAATCGGCCTTGGACGAGTCAGTAAGATATAATTATTTCAATATTTACAATATTTATTTCTAATATTTACATATGTACAGACAGACACCGAGTTCAATGTGTAATTTCATCTTTGTCGTAGCAAACTCCATGTATTTTCACCTTCCCTGTTGGACACGGGTCACCACTGAATGATGATCTGTCATCCAAGGAACCTGGTTCCGCGCTTGTAGCCTTTTCTTGTGGTTCCCAAACCCAGATAGGTCCATCATCAGCGCGAACCGCCGTCCCATTTGTCGGTGCATTTTGATTTGTTTTGGCATTTCTATCCTCCGGTTTCTGATTCACATGTGCTTTTGGTTTCTGCTTGTTTTGAATGGATTTAATATTTGGATTCGGTCTGCTTGATATTCTATTTTCCAGATCTATCTTGTCGTGACCGTGATTTCTTTGGTCGATGTTTTTGACATTGGTGTATATATTACCTTGATGGATACGCTCCGTTGTTTCAACTTCCGATGTATACGCGTTAGTTCTCAATCTATGATCGTTTTCATCGTTTATTTTGTTGATGCGATCGTTTGCAGCATTTCTCGCTACATCCTGGGCATGTTGATCTCTTTTAACGATATTGTGGCTATGTAGTTCACCTTGGTAACCAGTATTTGTGTGATAGACAACAGAATGTTCTTTAACATCGTCTGGGATACGTCGGGCCGTTACACCGGCTATCATCAATAGTAAAACAAACACCATTGTGACATTCCAACACGACCTTCTCGTACCACGGCTGGTAGCAGACTGTTATCCAAGTCCAACTGATACATTTTTATGAGACAAGGTTCCTGCGTATCCAATCGTGACTCATAAATACGTCACGAGAAAACTTGTTTTCGATTATATGTATATACAAATAGTTAATTTGTATACATTATTTACGGTTGAAAATATGTAATAATATTAAAAAAATAAAATAAAAGTTATGTATTTAAATATTTTTATTATGAGATATTTGGTTTAGGATTATTAAAATATAAAAATGTCAATTAGATCGTGAAAAGGATTAATATGTAAGTCAAAATTATTATCGTAGATAAGAGAAATTTGTAAAAAAATTCTATAATGAATTTAATAGAAAACTTAATAAAAATCATCTTATTATATATACATATTTAAGTTTTATAAGTTCCTTATTATTACAGTAATTAATAAAGATTTATAATTAGTAAAGTTCAATGACCTTATCGAGTATAGAATAATATTTTGAAGGTGAAATAGCTTGATTTTGATATATAGATTAATCCTACTATTAATATGAAGAAAACAAAGTATTTTCTTCTGTTTACTTGATAATATATAATATTGAAAATATTTTAATATATAGAGATTTAAGACGACGACGACGAAACTTCTCAGCATTCCATGGATTCACCGTGCGGGTGCCGGGTCCATCGCGTTGCAGGGGGAGGAGCTTCAACAGTGCCTGGGACTTGCGACCCAAGTGTAGGTTTAAGGGGCCCCTTAACTAACGCGCGTTATACGCTCACCTCCACTGTCCAAGCTCCTCTCCCTACCTAACCAAATTTGAAAGGAACCTACTAGGGCTGCCTTCGATGTACGTTCCAAGAATGCATTAATGTGAGTTCTGGACAAGCCCAAGTCCTTTAGTAGGTTATAGAGAGATTTCGCTGTTATACCTCTCGCTCCCACCTCTACCGCGTACAAATCTACTACGAACCTATTTCGAGTGAGTTCGTTTGTGAGCTCGTAATATTTGTTGACCTTGATGGTATGGTCTTTGGGGATGTTGGTTTCCCAAGGGACCGTAAGCTCTATCATCACTACGCGCTTTAAAATTCGCGAAAAACAAAAATATATCCGGTCTGGAGGCCGACGCACAAATATCCTCGGGGATTTTATATTGTTTTTCATACGTGTCCATCATTATAGTCCAATCCGACGCCGCTTTAAGGATGGAGTAAGGCTTGACGTTTGATTTTGTAGCCCTAGTGCCTTCTCTCACAAAACCTACTGATCGTTCGTTTGTGGTTATTCCCTTTTGCGCTCTGGCTACCGAAAGACTAACCGCTTCACGTATGACTTCTAGAACCCTATCGTGACGACGCGAGTATTGACCGCTGTCAAGGAGTACCTTACATCCCACCAGCAGATGCTTAGCAGTTCCAACTGCCTTTCCACAGATATAGCAAGTTTTTTTCGGTACTTTTACCCCATCTTACTAAATTACTCTGATCTGGGAGAGTCATCTGGAACGCATTGAGATAGAATTTTAGCAATGCTGGCGACCAATCATAAATTAAAGTGCGCCATTTTAATGCTAATGGGATGCAAAAATCTCCTATGTCTAACCACTCGTTCTGCATTTCTAAATTCATTGCATGGATCTTATATTTATCATTCTCGTCTTGCCGAATAAAAGACTTCAATATATCCGCATCTTGGACTTTCCTATTTGATCCTAACCCCGCTCTGTTACTTTGCGCTCCTATCATAAATTGCTTATGGAATTGAAGTCGTGACTCTAGCTCGGGGGCATCTTCATCTTTTGGGAGCGATGTCACTATGTCATCATGGGATTTCCCCAGGATATATCTCTTGGAAACTCTTAGGTGTTTATAGAGCTCCGATGGCCTTTTTAGACTCATCCCAAAACTATTGCTTCCCCTAAATAACGCCGATGAATCAGCCGTTAGAGCGAGCCCGAGCCACAACTTCAACATCTTTATGACGCCTGCATCTAACTTTGACAAAAGGGTTTTATTAAAATCATAGACGAGGAAAGGCCAATTCAAACGTGAAGTTAAGTAATTCTCGTAGATCCACGCTTTTTTGACGTTACTTATCAGTTTGCTATCTACCTTGTTAAGATCGTTCAAAAAGCTATCTACTATTCCTTCTAAAGATGGAGTACGGCCTATATTATCTATCTTACGACCGAGAAATTTAAATGGTGCATTTTCCGTAACCGTAGAAATGCATTGACCGCCTAACGATAGTCCCGGATCGTATGAGGTGTATCTTGTATTCCGCCTACCAAGACACAGACAGTGACATTTACTGGGTTTTGTCCTCAATCCATCCGTCCACTCACAGAATTTATCCACTTCATCCAATAGTACCTGACAGTGTTTGGGGTTACGTGTCAGTATTGCGAGATCGTCAGCGAAGGCTAAAATGGATTCCGTGTATTTATTATTAAACTTAAACCGATAACCCCATTTTTTCTCGTTACAGATTAATTTGTCTACTAAGATGTTAATTACGATATTAAACGCAATTGGAGATAGACAACAACCTTGAAACAGTCCTACATTATAACTCAAACTTTTTGAAGGGCCTTCTTTAGTTATTATAGAAAACCTTAATTTTGAGTAATACGACGCGATCATATCTCTAACTAGGGGTGGAAAGTTGTACCATCTAAGCGCGAATAGCATCAATTCGTGTTGTATCGACCCGAACGCGTTCTCCAAGTCTATCCAACAAACAGTGATTTGCCGCTCGCTTTTTCTAGCATCTTTTAAACTCTCCGACAGCAAGGTGTTGTGTTCTAAGCATCCAGAAATCCCGGGTAAAAACCCTTTCTGGTGATTTGGCCTAAAATAGTTGTTGCTGAGCATGAATCGCGTCATTCTCGTTTGTAGAACCGAGAAAAAGATTTTCGATATAGTATTTGTTAAAGCTATCGGTCTAGTATCTTTCGGATCAGTAACTCGATCTTTTTTGGGAATGAGGACAAAAATTGCTTTCCCGAAGCACTCCGGGATTTGCTTCCTTGACCAGATTTTACCGTATATATTTAGGAGGTGTTTACGAACCGATGCACATTTTTTAAAGACTATATATGGGATACCATCGGGTCCCGGTGCAGATTTAGACGACTTCCTCTTGATCTGACTACTTAGTTCCTCTAGCGTTGGTGGAATGCCGTGGAATTCGATTCGAGGAAATTCAGGTTTTTGATCGTTTGGATCCCTATACCGTCTTAAACTTTTAGGCACTTCGTATGTGCTCTTAAAATGGTCGTAAATTTGATCGTTGGTCAAGAGAAGCTGTCCGCGTTCTTTCTTAAAAATGGTTTTCGAATACTCAAAAGGGTTTTTATCGAAATCTACTTCTTGTTTTGCCCGGTCAAAATTATCGCGATATTCTGCAGTTTGCGCCGATATTCCTTGGATTAATTTAAGGATTGACCTTAACGCCCTAGCTAGTTGATGACTAAGGTGATTGTCGCCTAGAGCTTTGGCTATACGTAGATTTTTTATTAATTCCCGTTTTTTCTTCCGCATTTTTAATTTGAACGAATTGTCTTTATTTTTGCGAGCATAACGATTACGTGGTGGATATTGCTCGCTAAAGTAGTCATAAACGGTATTTTGGAAAGTTTCTACCTGCGAGTTCAATTCCTGCTTCGAGCCCGGATGCTCTAACAGGACCGCTAAGTTGTCGTCATGAACTTTCCAAGTCGATTGTTTTAGATTAGGAATGCTAAGACGTGTCCTGATGTTAATGGACTCCTGGTGGTTTCCAGTTAATGGTTCACCATGGGATACATGAGGGTCAACTCTATCCGAAGTGAATGTTGTAGATCTTACCGACGATTGTCGTGCTTCAACCCCATTATGTGTTTTTAGATGTTTAATGTACCAGGCTCGTCTCTTGTAGTTTTTCCCGCACGTAGAGCATTTCAAGTCCGTATTCGCGCCGTTTTCGCCGTTAAAATCGACCGGTGGACAGTTCTTCCGCCCCCCCTCTCGGACTGTCCCAGGGGTATTTTTCTTCTTCGGACTTTTAGCTTTATGTATACCGGGTTGGGCTTGCTAGGCCGTCGCCCTCGGCTGTCTTTCCAGCAGTCATCCGTCTTTCCGGCAGTCATCCGTCTTTCCGGCAGTCAGCTGTCTTTCCAGCGTCAGCCCGACTCTCCGGGCAGTCGTTTTAAATAAGACGAAACTTCTCAGCATTCCATGGATTCACCGTGCGGGTGCCGGGTCCATCGCGTTGCAGGGGGAGGAGCTTCAACAGTGCCTGGGACTTGCGACCCAAGTGTAGGTTTAAGGGGCCCCTTAACTAACGCGCGTTATACGCTCACCTCCACTGTCCAAGCTCCTCTCCCTACCTAACCAAATTTGAAAGGAACCTACTAGGGCTGCCTTCGATGTACGTTCCAAGAATGCATTAATGTGAGTTCTGGACAAGCCCAAGTCCTTTAGTAGGTTATAGAGAGATTTCGCTGTTATACCTCTCGCTCCCACCTCTACCGCGTACAAATCTACTACGAACCTATTTCGAGTGAGTTCGTTTGTGAGCTCGTAATATTTGTTGACCTTGATGGTATGGTCTTTGGGGATGTTGGTTTCCCAAGGGACCGTAAGCTCTATCATCACTACGCGCTTTAAAATTCGCGAAAACAAAAATATATCCGGTCTGGAGGCCGACGCACAAATATCCTCGGGGATTTTATATTGTTTTTCATACGTGTCCATCATTATAGTCCAATCCGACGCCGCTTTAAGGATGGAGTAAGGCTTGACGTTTGATTTTGTAGCCCTAGTGCCTTCTCTCACAAAACCTACTGATCGTTCGTTTGTGGTTATTCCCTTTTGCGCTCTGGCTACCGAAAGACTAACCGCTTCACGTATGACTTCTAGAACCCTATCGTGACGACGCGAGTATTGACCGCTGTCAAGGAGTACCTTACATCCCACCAGCAGATGCTTAGCAGTTCCAACTGCCTTTCCACAGATATAGCAAGTTTTTTCGGTACTTTTACCCCATCTTACTAAATTACTCTGATCTGGGAGAGTCATCTGGAACGCATTGAGATAGAATTTTAGCAATGCTGGCGACCAATCATAAATTAAAGTGCGCCATTTTAATGCTAATGGGATGCAAAAATCTCCTATGTCTAACCACTCGTTCTGCATTTCTAAATTCATTGCATGGATCTTATATTTATCATTCTCGTCTTGCCGAATAAAAGACTTCAATATATCCGCATCTTGGACTTTCCTATTTGATCCTAACCCCGCTCTGTTACTTTGCGCTCCTATCATAAATTGCTTATGGAATTGAAGTCGTGACTCTAGCTCGGGGGCATCTTCATCTTTTGGGAGCGATGTCACTATGTCATCATGGGATTTCCCCAGGATATATCTCTTGGAAACTCTTAGGTGTTTATAGAGCTCCGATGGCCTTTTTAGACTCATCCCAAAACTATTGCTTCCCCTAAATAACGCCGATGAATCAGCCGTTAGAGCGAGCCCGAGCCACAACTTCAACATCTTTATGACGCCTGCATCTAACTTTGACAAAAGGGTTTTATTAAAATCATAGACGAGGAAAGGCCAATTCAAACGTGAAGTTAAGTAATTCTCGTAGATCCACGCTTTTTTGACGTTACTTATCAGTTTGCTATCTACCTTGTTAAGATCGTTCAAAAAGCTATCTACTATTCCTTCTAAAGATGGAGTACGGCCTATATTATCTATCTTACGACCGAGAAATTTAAATGGTGCATTTTCCGTAACCGTAGAAATGCATTGACCGCCTAACGATAGTCCCGGATCGTATGAGGTGTATCTTGTATTCCGCCTACCAAGACACAGACAGTGACATTTACTGGGTTTTGTCCTCAATCCATCCGTCCACTCACAGAATTTATCCACTTCATCCAATAGTACCTGACAGTGTTTGGGGTTACGTGTCAGTATTGCGAGATCGTCAGCGAAGGCTAAAATGGATTCCGTGTATTTATTATTAAACTTAAACCGATAACCCCATTTTTTCTCGTTACAGATTAATTTGTCTACTAAGATGTTAATTACGATATTAAACGCAATTGGAGATAGACAACAACCTTGAAACAGTCCTACATTATAACTCAAACTTTTTGAAGGGCCTTCTTTAGTTATTATAGAAAACCTTAATTTTGAGTAATACGACGCGATCATATCTCTAACTAGGGGTGGAAAGTTGTACCATCTAAGCGCGAATAGCATCAATTCGTGTTGTATCGACCCGAACGCGTTCTCCAAGTCTATCCAACAAACAGTGATTTGCCGCTCGCTTTTTCTAGCATCTTTTAAACTCTCCGACAGCAAGGTGTTGTGTTCTAAGCATCCAGAAATCCCGGGTAAAAACCCTTTCTGGTGATTTGGCCTAAAATAGTTGTTGCTGAGCATGAATCGCGTCATTCTCGTTTGTAGAACCGAGAAAAAGATTTTCGATATAGTATTTGTTAAAGCTATCGGTCTAGTATCTTTCGGATCAGTAACTCGATCTTTTTTGGGAATGAGGACAAAAATTGCTTTCCCGAAGCACTCCGGGATTTGCTTCCTTGACCAGATTTTACCGTATATATTTAGGAGGTGTTTACGAACCGATGCACATTTTTTAAAGACTATATATGGGATACCATCGGGTCCCGGTGCAGATTTAGACGACTTCCTCTTGATCTGACTACTTAGTTCCTCTAGCGTTGGTGGAATGCCGTGGAATTCGATTCGAGGAAATTCAGGTTTTTGATCGTTTGGATCCCTATACCGTCTTAAACTTTTAGGCACTTCGTATGTGCTCTTAAAATGGTCGTAAATTTGATCGTTGGTCAAGAGAAGCTGTCCGCGTTCTTTCTTAAAAATGGTTTTCGAATACTCAAAAGGGTTTTTATCGAAATCTACTTCTTGTTTTGCCCGGTCAAAATTATCGCGATATTCTGCAGTTTGCGCCGATATTCCTTGGATTAATTTAAGGATTGACCTTAACGCCCTAGCTAGTTGATGACTAAGGTGATTGTCGCCTAGAGCTTTGGCTATACGTAGATTTTTTATTAATTCCCGTTTTTTCTTCCGCATTTTTAATTTGAACGAATTGTCTTTATTTTTGCGAGCATAACGATTACGTGGTGGATATTGCTCGCTAAAGTAGTCATAAACGGTATTTTGGAAAGTTTCTACCTGCGAGTTCAATTCCTGCTTCGAGCCCGGATGCTCTAACAGGACCGCTAAGTTGTCGTCATGAACTTTCCAAGTCGATTGTTTTAGATTAGGAATGCTAAGACGTGTCCTGATGTTAATGGACTCCTGGTGGTTTCCAGTTAATGGTTCACCATGGGATACATGAGGGTCAACTCTATCCGAAGTGAATGTTGTAGATCTTACCGACGATTGTCGTGCTTCAACCCCATTATGTGTTTTTAGATGTTTAATGTACCAGGCTCGTCTCTTGTAGTTTTTCCCGCACGTAGAGCATTTCAAGTCCGTATTCGCGCCGTTTTCGCCGTTAAAATCGACCGGTGGACAGTTCTTCCGCCCCCCCTCTCGGACTGTCCCAGGGGTATTTTTCTTCTTCGGACTTTTAGCTTTATGTATACCGGGTTGGGCTTGCTAGGCCGTCGCCCTCGGCTGTCTTTCCAGCAGTCATCCGTCTTTCCGGCAGTCATCCGTCTTTCCGGCAGTCAGCTGTCTTTCCAGCGTCAGCCCGACTCTCCGGGCAGTCGTTTTAAATAAGACGAAACTTCTCAGCATTCCATGGATTCACCGTGCGGGTGCCGGGTCCATCGCGTTGCAGGGGGAAGAGAAAAAATTGGAGTAAATAACATTCAACTTTGGCTACACAATTTTTTCTTAATTTATGATCAACAAGATCGATGGAAACAATTTAAATTAAAACAAAATAGGCGTCACTAACTAAACCTTTATAATATTGTCGAGTATAATTTTGATAAATTTTTATGTTTCAATAATACTTAAAACTCTTTGAAAAGTTATAAATATAAAATATTAGTTGTTTATAAAAATTCAAGAAACTGAAAAAAATAGAGTAATCAATAGATTTGAAATTATAAGAAACGTTTTTAAAAAAATGTCAAAATTAGGCAAAGTTTTTTTTATCGACTAACAAGGATTTATTTTAAAATAACAAATTGTGTGTAGATTTATTTTTTTATTTATTCAAACCTCTACCCTATGTAAAATAGAATATACATTATTTATTATATGAAAAAAATATTTTTTAATATATCTAAGATATGGTAATATTTAGAAATTAATATTATGTGTGTCCAAACACATAATTCATCGGACGATCACGAGACTAAGAATTACGTCAATACTTTATAGACCCACTTATACGAACACGTTACCCGAATTATAATTAATATACAATATATATATTATTATATATTTAGATATTATAATGAATAAACAAATATATGAGTAGAAATATATTGATTATTATTTTTATTATTTATTACTTTTTGTATCTAAATCAACATCGTTCTTGTATCAAATGAAATAGTAAGTTTATTTGAATAGTTTTCCAAAAATATTTTAACTTTTAACAAAGACAAAACCACGGTAATATTTTATACGTAAAAATCTTATTAAAATTTAATTCGATTTTAAATAAAAATACTGCATTGTCCTAGAATATTTTTAATAAACTGGTCTTTACTAAATCAGAATTTTAAAATCGGATCCCACAATAATTTTGCGTGACTCGAATGGCCAGACGAGCACAACTCCTGGGAGTTACTGAATATATTAAGTTTAAAAAAAACTACCTACAATGGAAAATCACAACATTTTTTTATCAAAACACCGTAATTATGAATGGCGTTTGTGACGTAATGTGCACACTTTGTTTGCGATATTTAAAATATATTGAGAAGATTTGTAAAAAAAACGTTACGATTATTATGTAACCTTAATATTATTATTGTTTTTTATTACATATATTGTATCTTCTTCTACCTGGCAATTTCCCAGCTATAGCCAGAGTCTGCCTTACATGTTATGAATAGTTTTGGCTATTTGTTTTTACGACCGGCTGCCTGCCTGACATGAACCCTCTTTTGAGAATCATCATTAATCAGTGATGTCTAAATACTCTTAGAAAGTACATATGACTCGGAAAAATCACATTGGTAGTTGCCCGGGCCAGGATTGAACCCGCGCCTTCGGCAACGAGAGGCAGGCCCTTTAACCACTAAGCCACCACTGACTAATTACATATATTGTATATTAAATTAAATTAAGGATTCCTAATATGAGAGAAAATATTAATTAAGAAAGGAAAAATTGTAAAGGAGAAATAAATACATTAATTTGAAAAATCGATATATTACTTTTTTTGTTACAAAAAAAAAAGACTTTCGTATAATATTATAGCAATATAATGCACAAAGGTTCATACTTGTTTATATTATTATTAATGTATGTTACGTACGCGCTACATATTAAAAAATAAATGAACATCTTAGTATGAGTAAAATATCATATAACGAGTGACGCTGCTGACTCCACGGAACGAACACCAAGCCGTGTGAACCAGAAGATTCCTGATACCACACAAGCTGTGGAATGGTATTGTTATCATAACATCGGGGCAATCATGTAGTCTTAGGTGTTGGTTATAAGTTTTAATATGGAATTCTTATTATATTATACATATAAATAAATTTCTTAGTTTTCCTGAAACCTCTGATTGCCACCCTATATAATTAATTTGTATTGTATTGTAAATATTTTTTAATATTATTTTATGAAAATAAGTATTTGTATTTATTTAAGTAAAACTAATATTATCAGATTACTATGCGTATTTTACTATTTTTAACTACATACTATAGATGTTTCGGTTACTTTGCAGCAACCGTGATCACGGACAGACGAGATGAAAAATGGTGTGTGAAAATATTTATTGTTTTATCATCAAAAGGTGGAAAGAAAGGAAAAAGATGTAAATAATAAAATTAAATAGAAATTAACATTTTGATCGGGCCACAAATCTATTACGGTCACGAGAAAGTATTTATTTAATGATTTTTTATTTTTTTATTTGCCATAGATTTCTATTAAAGATTTTGTTATATAGAAAAAATATTTTAATATCCGTTGAATTTTAATATTTTTCTATAAGTTTCTACTTTGAAAAATATTAAATTTTCTTCTCTATATTTTTGTTAATTTTAAATGTAATCAATTACCCCGAATTGCATATTTCAAAAGCTTTAAATTTTATACAATAGTAGTGTGAGTTACAATGATTATATTGAAGAGGGAAATAAAGAAATACGTGGGATTCTCCAGTATAGACCCGGAACTATCCACTAAGCCCCAACGAAAGCCCTCATCACCTTAACAGATAGTCACAGGGTCGCTTGCGCAATAAATTTTGCAATGATCGTTTTCATATGGACCTGTACTACTCACTAGCATTCAATTCCACTGTCAACATTTTTATTAAAAGAGCTGGTATATTTTTAGCTCCTCCCAAGTCTAGAATCCCTTAATAGAAATATATAATATTTCACTAAATCTCATTTCCTAATAAAGATTACCAACCCTTATGGAAAATAAAATAACTAAATAATATAAATACGATAATTAACATGATAATAAAAGAAACACACATATATAAAAGAAAGTCGTGTTAGTTACACTATTCATAACTCAAGAAAGGTTGTACAGATGTCGCTGGAAATTTCTGGTAAGATAGGTTGGAATGAGGAGAAGGAATTAGAATACTTAAAATGCGTTCCACAAAAAAAAAACAAAATCTGTCTCTAAATCAAAACAGTTCGTCTGATAGCCCATACGCCTAACGCGGACAAAGTCGCGGGCAAAAGCTAGTATATCATAAAAATAATTGTACATATTGAAATATAAAATATTTATGTATAGTCTATGTTTATTGTAGATTTTGGTAAATATCTAAAAGAAAATAATTGGTCCGTTTCAAGAACAAAGAATAATGATGATATTTCTGTAGGAAGGATCATATTACTGCTTCATCATCACCATCTTCATCCCAGGATATGAATTAAACCTTCACCTCACATTAGGATTAAGAGCAATATATATACAGGGTGACTGGTGAATTATTATCAATATTTAAGGACAATACTCGGTACATGATTCTCATTCGAATTATGTAAAAAAAATAGGTACTTAATTTTTGACCAAATTTCCGTATAAATAAATAAAGTGTGGACACGTTACAAGTGTTCCAAGTGTGGACGCGTGCGGCGGCGTGCTGATACAACACTACGCCGCCGCCGCGTCTGTGTGAGTGTGTGGGTATACCTAATCTGTAGGGTGTTCATACGATGCGTAATTAATTACATAACTTTTGGTTAACTTTACTTAGAAGTTTATTAATATTCATGTTATATATATTTTTATTTTGTCATATATGACCGTCAAATATCACGTCCTCAAGTATCGATAGTAATTCACCAGTCACCCTGTATATGAAAACCATTAAACATTCAGACTTACAAAAACTCATCCTACGTAGTAAAATACCGATAATTACACTCAAAAAACGAAAATAAGAGAAACATTTTAAACATCCATCAATATATTCCTTATAAGCTTTTTACATCACAATAGTCTATTGTAACAGGCCATTTGTCAGCATTAATTATAGGGCCAGTATTAATTGTGGGGTTGGACTGATGACAAGTATTGTTGACCAAATAACAATGGTTATTTAACTTAACAATTACCTGAAAATGTATACCAACTTTATATATTTCCATCCACGTGAACAATGTATAAAGTTAGTTAAACAATACATAATATGTATAGTAAGCTACATAACTTGTTCATTTTAAATATTGAAATGCATACAAAATGTATTAAAATCGGTCCAGCCGTTTAAGAGTAACATGACATACACACGTACAGAGCAAATATATATATACAATATAAGTAAAATTTCAAAAATAAACAACGTTTTTTCCTCCATTGTATTTATGTTTTTCGTCCTGGTCTCATAAAGATTTTTAATTTTAAAACAATGAGTTTGTTTTAAAATCAAACGATCTATATAATTTTTTTTGCGCCATAAAGTATGGTACTTAATCGAATAATTAAAGAGTTATAAATAAACCTATTTAAACCATTTCTTAATACATTTTAATCTTACAAAATATGTAGTCTCAAATCCTAAAGATGACTCAAGTAGTAAGTAGTGCCATTATCAAAGCCTGGCCGTACAAGACCTTACAGAATGATCGTCCTACTTTCTTTAATTAGTCAAAAAGTTTAAGGTTAAGTGAAGCCTTTTCCTAAGTACATTAAACACTGGCTTCATGTACGGCTTTGTCTGTTGATTTTGGAATGCAAGTTTTACTTGTAAAATTACTATAAAATAGGTTTTTTAAGTAATAATAAGGTGTACATCACTGTATAAATCGTTTCGTTTCCCTTTCAATAACCAAAGAGTACGCATACAGTCATCAAAAATTATATAAAACATATTTGAATATGTTGAAAACTTATTACGTAAAACGCATAAAATATCGTTCTTTTAGAAAATAAAGAAATCCGTAAATAAGATTTGAATTTACAAAACACTTATAAACTATATGAAACTCTCATTACCACACTAATTTTTCCTAACGATTTAGAATCTGTGGAAAATAGATTTTAAGATAAAATATGCTCTTTCTTTTATCCGAAACCAATTTTTAAATTTAAATATAATGAAGTCACAAATGAATTTATAAAAAAGACAAATATTCACAAGACTTTTTATTTTATGTAACTTAAAAATGTATATAATAGCAATTTTGATATTGTTTTCATATTAATCAAGATTTATTTTATACATAATAATAAATAATCAAATGTTTCAAATTTAATAGCCTTTTTTCATTACTATAAACCGAATTATTTTTTATATAATACTATCTCCTTTAATATCTTCCTTAAACACGTATAACTGAAAACAAAAGCCTTCATGTTCCAGAATGTTCAATGCATTTGTACAAGCGGTTTCTAATACGTAAACTGAAAATTTGAAACTACACAAACTATGGTGACACAACCATTTGTGTTCCAGGGAGGAGTGGAGACAAATAACCGAGGCGTTAATTACAAACAGGTGCTAATTAACTATTACAAACAATAAACTCAAAGCTACTAGTAGTTAACATGACGTAATTATGATTACCGTCTGAATACTCCAAGCTTCAGTAATATTCGATTGGTATACACGGACGGTAATCATCGGTAATTTTATATGATTACGGTTGTAATATAGAAATTTAGTATCAAATTAAAATAACAACTATATGACCAAGATTACTACCATCAACGTAAGGGATGGTTTGTCAAACATTTTAATTTTTGTACTATTTATGTTTTATTTTAGACAAAAAATAAAGAGGAATGTAATTCAAATTTCGTATATACGCACAAAATGGCTCTTCGAACTCGGTAATAATTTTAAAAACATCAAAAGAATAGATACCCATATATTTCTTATATTATAATAACGTAAAATTTTCTGTTAAAAAGATTATACATAGTTCTGAAATCGATTTAAGTCAGCTGCGGTAAGCTTGTACAGAAACATGGCGTTTCCGATTTGCTTTATCCATAATTGCAAAATTCAAGGCCGCTGGTGTTGAATCGATGTTTTCAGCAGCTAGAACAGTACCAAATAAAATCTATATATGATAACTTCTTTACATTTAAACATTTCCTTTGACGAAGAAACACATAATAAATAATGCATCGTCCTGGGGAAGATGACGTGACGTCTGTCTCAAAATAAATATTATTACTTCAAGGATTTAGTCCTAAAATCTTTCTTTTATCCTGATATATAAAAAGCTACTGATTTCCGAACTGAACTGCTTTATTTTCTGATGTCATTTAATTGAATTTGACATTTGTCAAACATCGATTTGTTTTTGACAGGAGGCAAACGTCATACAATAAAAAGTTTTCATAATAAACATAAATAATATTAAAAAGTAAAACATATTTTAAATATAATTTTGTATTGAATTAACTATATAATTTATAGTGGTGTAAAATATCAGACTAAAATATATGACATTGGATGAATGAGAAATTCCTTCGTGTTTATTATTTTGCCTGAACTTTTTGAACTTAATTATTTCATATATTTTTCAAATAAAACTCGAATCAAACTATAGTTTTTTATTACTTTTCAAATTATTATTATATAAAATTATTTATTATAGCGTTCAATATATTGTTATTTTTTTAATTTAACGCTAATTTTCAGCGTTAAATTGGAAATAAAGTTGAACTAATCTATTAAAATTAAAATACCGTAGCATATAAAATCAAAATATTAACATAACATTCTCTTTAATTAAAGTTTATTAGAGTATATATTTGAATAATAAATGTGGATTACTTTTAACGGGAACGGTACGTTAGGTATTAGTTTCGCAATTATTAATGTAAAATAACAAAATGGTTTAGTTAAAAGAAATATACAACACAAATTTCAATTCAAATGTAAAATAGAGCTTACATGTTGTCGATGTTTCACAGTTTAAGTTTTCATCATCAAATTAACTGACGTTGAAACAATGTTTAGGTAAAAGATAAAAATACTAACTAATAGTTCTGTATACCTTTGCTATCATAGAATATACATATATTAAAGCAGCATGAGACGAAACCTCTTAGCATTCGATGGATTCACCGTGCGGGTGCCGGGTCCATCGCGTTGCAGGGAGAGGAGCTTCAACAGTGCCTGGGACTTGCGACCCAGGTGTAGGTTTAAGGGGCCCCTTAACTAACGCGCGTTATACGCTCACCTCCACTGTCCAAGTTCCTCTCCCTACCTAACCAAATTTGAAAAGAACCTACTAGGGCTGCCTTCGACGTACGTTCTAAGAATGAATTAATGTTAGTTCTGGACAGGCCCAAGTCTTTTAGTAGGTTATAGAGAGATTTAGCTGTTATACCTCTCGCTCCCACCTCTACCGCGTACAAATCAACGACGAACCTATTTCGAGTTAGTTCGTTAGTGAGCTCGTAATACTTATTGACCTTGATGGCATGGTCTTTGGGGATGTTGGTTTCCCAAGGCACCGTAAGCTCTATCATCACAACGCGCTTTAAAATACGCGAATATAGAAATATGTCTGGTCTGGAGGCCGACGCACAAATATCCTCGGGGATTTTGTATTGTTTCTCATACGTATCCATCATGATAGTCCAATCCGAAGCCGCTTTAAGGATAGAGTAAGGCTTGACGTTTGATTTTATAGCCCTGGTGCCCTCTCTCACAAAACCTATTGATCGCTCGTTTGTGGTTATTTCCCTTTGCGCTCTGGCTACCGAAAGACTAACCGCTTCACGTATGATCTCTAAAACCCTATCGTGACGACGCGAGTATTGACCGCTGTCCAGGAGAACCTTACATCCCACCAGCAAATGCTTGGCAGTTCCAACTGCCTTTCCGCAGATATAGCAAGTTTTTTCGGTACCTTTACCCCATCTTACTAAATTACTCTGATCTGGGAGAGTCATCTGGAACGCATTGAGATAAAATTTTAGCAAGGCTGGCGACCAGTCATGAATTAGGGTGCGCCATTTTAGTGCTAGTGGAATGCAAAAATCTCCTATGTCTAACCAATCGTTCTGCATTTCTAAACTCATTGCATGGATCTTGTATTTATCGTTCTCGTCTTGCCGAATAAAAGACTTCAATATATCCGTATCTTGGACTTTCCTACTTGATCCTAACCCTACTCTGTTATTTTGCGCTCCGATCATAAATTGTTTATGGAATTGAAGTCGTGACTCTAGCTCTGGGGCATCATTGTCTTTTGGGAGTGATGTAACGACGTCATCATGGGATTTTCCCAGGATATGTCTCTTGGAAACTCTTAGGTGTTTGTAGAGCTCCGATGGTCTTTTTAGATTCATCCCAAAACTATTACGATCCCTGAATAAAGCCGATGAGTCAGCCGTTAGCGCGAGCCCGAGCCACAACTTCAACATCTTTATGACGCCTGCATCTAATTTAGATAAAAGGGTTTTACTAAAATCATAGTCGAGGAAAGGCCAATTCAAACGTGAAGTTAAGTAATTATCGTAGATCCATGCTTTTTTTACGTTACTGATCTGCTGGCTATCTACCTTGTTGAGGTCATTTAAAAAGCTATCTACTATTCCTTCTAAAGATGGAGTACGACCTATATTATCAATCTTACGACCGAGAAACTTGAATGGTGCATTTTCCGTAACCGTAGAAACGCATTGACCGCCTATCGATAGTCCCGGATCGTATGAGGTGTATCTTGTATTCCGCCTACCAAGACACAGACAGTGACATTTACTTGGTTTTGTCCTCAATCCATCCGTCCACTCACAGAATTTATCCACTTCATCCAATAGTACTTGACAGTGTTTGGGGTGACGTGTCAGTATTGCGAGATCGTCAGCGAAGGCTAAAATGGATTCCGTGTATTTGTTATTGAACTTAAACCGATACCCCCATTTTTTCTCATTGCTGATAAGTTTATCTACTAGGATATTGATTACAATATTAAATACTATTGGAGATAAACAGCACCCTTGGAATAGTCCTACATTGTAACTCAAACTTTTTGAAGGGCCTTCTTTAGTTATAATAGAAAACTTTAATTTTGAGTAATACGACGCAATCATATCGCTAACTAAGGGTGGAAAGTTATACCATCTAAGCGCGAATAGCATCAACTCGTGTTGTATCGACCCGAACGCGTTCTCTAAGTCTATCCAACAAACTGTTATTTGCCGCTCGCTTTTTCTAGCATCTTTCAAACTCTCCGACAGCAAGGTGTTGTGTTCTAGGCATCCAGAAATCCCGGGTAGAAACCCTTTCTGGTGATTTGGCCTAAAATAATTGTTGCTGAGCATGAATCGCGTCATTCTCGTTTGTAGGACCGAGAAAAAGATTTTAGATATTGTATTTGTTAAGGCTATCGGTCTAGTATCCTTCGGATCGGTAACTCGATCTTTTTTGGGAATGAGGACAAACATTGCTTTCCCGAAACACTCCGGGATTTGCTTCCTTGACCAGATTTTGCCGTATATATTTATGAGGTGTTTACGAACCGATGGACATTTTTTAAAGACTATATATGGGATACCATCGGGGCCCGGTGCAGATTTAGATGATTTCCTCTTTATGTGACTACTTATTTCGTCTAACGTTGGTGGTATGCCGTAAAAATCGATATGAGGAATTTCCGGTTTTTGTTCATTTGGATCCGTATAGAGCCTTACACTTTTAGGCACTTCGTATGTGCTCTTGAAATGGTCGTAAATTTGATCGTTGGTCAAGAGAAGCTGTCCGCGTTCTTTCTTAAAAATGGTTTTCGAATACTCAAAAGGGTTTTTATCAAAATCTACTTCCTGTTTGGCCCGGTCAAAATTACCGCGATATTCTGCAGTTTGTGCCGATATTCCTTGAATTAATTTAAGGATTGACCTTAACGCCCTAGCTAGCTGATGACTAAGGTGGTTGTCGCCTAGAGCTTTGGCTATACGTAGATTTTTTTTTATTAATTCCCGTTTTTTCTTCCTCATTTTTATCTTGAACGAATTTTCTTTATTTTTGCGAGCGTAATGATTACGTGGTGGATATTGCTCGTTGAAGTAGTCATAAACGGTATTTTGGAAAGTTTCTACCTGCGAGTTCAATTCCTGCTTCGAGCCCGGATGCTCTAACAGGACCGCTAAATTGTCGTCGTGAACTTTCCAAGTCGATTGTTTCATGTTAGGAATGCTAAGACGTGTCCGGATGTTAATGGACTCCTGGTGGTTTCCAGTTAATATTATCATGTCCAAAAAAGTGTATAACATATTATAAACTCAGAAGTGACTATCGAAAAGCGAGTAGTTTTTGAGATATTTAGTAACACAAATAAACACGAAAATTCTCTTAAGGTCGTATATGTATATAAAAAGTATTTCAAAAATTACTAACTTATACATTTCAACACCAAAAGTTAAAGGACTGCGTCACTTGTGATAACTTTATTTTTTATATAAAAAACTTGTTTCTAACTGTCCAAAAATCCTTTTATATATAGATAGTTATATAATTTACTTGATCTATATCAAAAGTCATACATGTCTGTTAATAATTTAACAAGCCTATTACCGTATATTTCAAAATTTTAAGCAAACGAAAATATAATTTATTATATTTTACTGGCAACACAGATATTATACTAGATACTGAAAACACTGAAAAAAGAAATTAATTTAAACATTTTAAATCAATCAACGTAAAAGAGGAATTGCTATTATGCTAATCATATACATATAATGTAATTATAAAATTTTATTTAATAACATTTAATGAAAAATATCATTAATATTTAATATCAAACATAATTTCTAAACGCTCCGCCCGCCATGTGGACAATGGCGGAGCATTCGACTCTGAACTTGCTCTTTTTTGAAATACTTTTCGACAGTACATTCCTATTAAAGTTCCATTGAACGTTGCAAATTGAATTTATACAGCGTACGAATGGAAATGCTTGACTTTATAGTAGAAAATAAAATTAACTGCATTCGCAATAGAGTGGCCGGTCCATTTAGATTGCAAGAGTACTCTCAGTATTTGGTTTAAGGACGCTTCAATATTTCAAAAAGTATATTTTTTGTACTGGTAACATTTTTAAGATTGTTATTATATTTAAAAAGTTTTTATATTATTCATATTATTGGTAGAATAAAATTGAACAATATTTTTTAACCCTAATCATTTAAATATAACATAGATATTTCCATAGAAATATCTAAAAAAAAAATTAATATGGCAACTTTTTTACGTTGACTTAGGTATTAACTTGTGTGTATCTTTATAATAATTTACGTAATGAACAATTTAAATAAATAAACTTATAAATTGTTTTAAAATTATATATTTTTAAATATGTAAAGAAGTAAAGTATTCTAAATACATTTTATACTAAAAAGTTTAATTGAAATAAAATCTTTAAGAGTTAATATAAACATTTTCATGATTAGTGTCAATCGAAGTCATAATGTTTATAAATCTTTATATTTTATTATTATTACCTTAACAAAAATAATCTTTAGAACTTAAATATCAAAATGATTTGTTTAAACCTATACTGTTTGATTTAAGACTGCTTTATTTTTCTAGAACAATCTTTTCTTTGTATCTACATTAATGATTACTTTTTGTAAATATGAAGATATTAAATAATAATACTAAAATACATACAGAATATACAAATAAAACTAATATTTATGTATGTATGTTGTTTTTTACAAAAATAAAGCTTCACATATAATATATCCAAAAAATATTAGTTTCATTTAAATGAATACTCGCAACAGTTACATATATAACATAGTTTAAATATTAAATGTAACAAGAAGTAAGTACTACAAAGAAAGTTATGAAGTCCACTTAAATATGTATAAATTCGAAAACTTTTAAGAACAATATTTCTTTTTATTGTCAATGATTTTATATGAGATATTTTTGTTCTGTATGACGATTTTTTACTCAATTCAAAATACAAATAAAATTTTATACAATATCTTATTTTCAATATATTGAGTGTACATGTTATGTTATTTAAGTCAGTGGTGACCTAGTGGTTAAAGGGCCCGCCTCTCGTACACGAGGACGCGGATTCGATCCTGGCAAGTACCAATGTGAATTCTCCGAGTCATATGTACTTTCTAAGAGTATTTAGACACCACTGACAGACGGTGAAATAAAATATCGTGAGGAAACCTGGACTTATAATTTGACAGTTATAAGTTTGAAATCACCAATCCATCTTGAGCAAGCGTGGTGATTAATGCTCAAACCTTCTCCATGTGAGAAAGAGGCCTCTCAGCAGTGGGCTCTGATAGGCTGATGACGTTACGTTATTGTTATTTTATTGAAAACCTATTAAATTTTAATAGCTACCTTTCATTTGAGTACCTTGAACTATAACCAATCTATATATATGTACTTTAAATTATCTTACACAGCTTTATACTAAACTAAAACTTCATCTGTCTTTAAAATTAATAAAATTCTTCTACTTCAACTCATATAATTAATTAACAAAAGCTTGTAAACTTTTAAAACAATGAAGAATAAAACGCCTTTGAGTATTGGAAAATACAATTTTTAGGTGGCGTGATATCGGTTGAATTAATTAGCAAGAATATTTTAATCCAATAAGAAATACTTTCTCTGGAACATTCTTAATCGTCTTCACTGACTTTTCTCTGAAATCATCTTCAAAAGTTCTCTTTGTATAGATACTTCAAATATGGTGATTTTAAATCTTACTATTACATTATTATGTTCATTTTTAATTAATTTACAATGTATCTAACTTAAAGGCAACTAATATTTTTCGGATAACTACGAAATCAACCAAAGACCAACTGACAGACATTCACACCACGTCTGCCCGTGATCACGGTTGATGAAAAGTAGCCGAAAAGTCGGGAGTATGTAGTTTAAAATAATAAAATATGAGTAGGAATCCGAAAACATTAGTTTCATTTATAGAATACTCGCGAAAGTCCTAGATCTCAAAATGTATAGTATATACCTCTCTCCAAAACTCAAAAACAGACATACAACATGAGATATTTTATATTGGATGGAAAATTATACAATGAGGCTTATTAAAACGAGCAGACGGCCTACTTGATGGGCGTTAGTTACCGTCGCCCATAGACATCCACAATATTATTGTTACGGATGCGTTGCCAACCTCGTTTTTTTAGGTATAGGAGGGCTATAAATAAAGAGATGGTAGGCAACCGGCTCTCTCACTCATCGGACGAAACGCAGCCACTAAAGGCTACTTCACTCCGATCTTCTGTGAGAGGATGGCACTATGGTAGAGCGAGCCCATGTTCGAGCTGTAGTAACTGACTATAGCTAGGCTCTACCACCTATTAAAAAAATCCAAAAATACACACAATGTATTCTTTCAAAGTACTTTAACTTTACCTGGGAACTAAATACCTGTCCTTGGGTTTACGGAACCACTGGCTGACGGAAAAAAGTAGATTAGTTATACTGTCACAATCTACTTTCAGAATTACCTATTAATATCAAAAATATTTCTTTCTTTCTCAAAAATATATCATCAATGCTCAAAGTTATTATGAATTATTTATATGTATAAAAGAAAGTTGTGTTTGTACACTATTTATAACTTAAGAACGGCTGTAGGGATATGGTTGAAAATTGGTGGACAGATAGTTTAGAACCAGGAGACGGATATAGGATATTTAATTCGATTCGATTCAAGAAAAAAATTAATAAATTTCAATATCTGGTTATTTATGGTCTCTAGGGCAGAATAGAGTTCGCCCATCAGCTATACATACATATATAGTTTTATAATGCCTAAATTAACGCGGACGAAGTCGCGGGCAAAAACTAGTAATTTATATAAACTAAATGTAAAGTACTTCTGTCTGTTCGCTACCTTTCAACATAATAATGACTTCATTGTTTAGTATGGAAGTAAAAAACGAGTATTAAGATGGGATAAAGGTAATTTCGTCTCAAAAACCGACAATCCTAGGAACATAATAGAGAAAAAAGGATATAATTACGTAATAACCTTTTCTTGAGGCTTGATACAATAAAATATATCAAGCAATGTGATTAATATAACAAATTTATATTTCATTAGAAAATTATATGGGTAAAGAATTTTCTTTTCATATTTATTCTCTACTAGTTTTTGCCCGCGACTTCGTCCGCGTTAATTTCATCATTAGTAATATAGCTGACCGGGCGAACTCTATTTCGTCCTAGAGGTCATAAATAATCAGGTTTTTCCTGTTTCAATCGAACAGAATGATTGACATATTAGTTAGTTGTCAAATCTAATGTCAAAGAAAACATTTGTATGGGAAATAGAAAAGGGCTGTTTTTAGGATTTTCCCGGAAATGAATCAATTTTTCTCACCTTTTACACTTTTCCTGAACCTCCACGAACATTTCAAGACTAAGATAAGATAAACCCGTTCAGCTGTTCTCGAGTTTTAGCGAGACTAAGGAACAGCAATCCATTTTTATATATATAGAAGATTGAAACATGTTTGACGTTAATTTCCAGTTACATAAAAGCCTTGATTATACAACCACTTCCAAGGCGAAGGTTCGTCGCTACAAAGTTGAACCGAAATTAACTCCTTTTAAAACTTTGTTAAAAAAAGACTTTTAAGAATCAATGTCATACATTTCTTGAATTTATTCTTGAGTTTAGTTTATTATAAAAAAGGATATAGAACAAAAACTATTAAGATATCTATTAAAAATATAAAACCTCATACAGGTGAACGAAATAAAAAAAATGTAAAGTATTTTTGCATTAGCATGGTCCAAGATCTTAGCCTGCCCAAAAGGACGAATTAAAAAAAGTATTAATGCATAAATTGAATAAAACATTTCGTCGACTGTTTGCTCTGTGTAATCTTGTTTCTTTGTCTAGTCGGTTCACCTAATTTAAATTTGTAATTTAAAAATTTTAGCAAAGATAATAAGGACATTTAAAATAACATTTTTTTTGTATTTTTTATCATAAGTCCGTTTTCAATGAACTCTTTCGGTTAAGTCAAATTATTTCAATATGTTTACATCATGTACTTGTTGATTAAAGCCTATTTAGACTATAAAGAAAGTTAATTTGATAGATATAGATTTTACTTTAAATTATTTAAAACTTAAATAAACCTAGACTGAAATTAAGCATGATGGTTTCACCATTGTCTTTATAAGCTTTTGATTTAAAAAGCGTTACGCATTGATCCTCTTTTAATGACGA